TTTTTTTATGCTGATTATGAAAGTAAATCACGTGACCAGTTACGTTTAAGGCGGTGAGGAGGATTTTTGGGAATGGTGGCAGAGGAAAGATTAGAAATTAGAGGGTTAGGGTGATTGTGAGTGTGCGCGTGGAAATTCGAATAATGTATACGGGCGAGAGTAGGAATGGTGCAAATTTTTAGGTCATTATGTAAGGACTAAGGAAAGATTACTAACATACCACGGAGCTTTGGTTATTAGCCTAAGATTAATTGATTGAAACGCTTGGAATATATTGACGTTGGATTTTTTGGCTGAGCCCCAAAGTTGGATACCATAARTCATAGCTGGGCGAATAATTTGTTTGTAGATTAGCAATTTATTGGAGAATGAGATGTTAAAACTGAGAAGAGGTCTAAGTTTATGTAATTTGATATTTAAGGATWTTCTTTTAACCTCGCCCAGGTTAGCCTTTTATCAAGATGAACACCTAAATATTTGAAGTTAAATGACCTAAAAACTAWATTATAGATATAATAAAAATGAACAAATAAAATGCTCTGAAAAAAATACATTATTATAATTCTAAAATACATATGGATTATAGATTTWAAAAAAAAAAGTATTAAGCAAATAATAWTTTGTGCATTTGTTTCATAAAAGTGTAGGATGCATGATTTATAGTCAGTAACAAACAAGGAAAAGGATTAAAAACACAATTTTCATATCATTATGTAAATATGAATTGAAAAGATAAATAATCCCAATTAAAAAAAAACTATGGAAATTAAAAAATTATTCAATAATTGTGAAAAATGCCCTTAAAACCAGAAATGGACTGAGAAAAAAAATCAATAAAATTTCAAAATAATGCTTGAAGTTTTAAAATCTCTGATATCTTAATAATCCGATTTTGAACAAGATTTAATTAATTTTTGAACTAAACATTTTTCAAACTGTAGGGTATATTATATAATAATGTTTATAATAATATAGATATCATAATATTATATAATTATTGTTGTCAAAAAAATAAATTGTATTTATACCTAGTATATACTTACAATCTTTCTGAATTAATTAATAATTATGTACAAAACTAAAAAAATCGAAACTTTTTTCTTAACTCTCAGTAATTAGAATTTTAGATTCTGAGCGGAGCAAGGATGTGTGTAGAAAATACATAGGCACAATGCTTTTTATTAGCATTTGAAGTTCAAATATTGACAAAAATTCGTCAAAACCA